TTTTTTAAAATGTGTTAAACCCAGTATCATTAAGTGGCATCTAGGTCTGCTGGCAGATACATTGCTCCCAAGTAAGGTGATACAATTCAGACATAGATTTGCACCTATAAATGTCCTTCTCTGAACTAAATGTAATAAATTCTTCTCTTTTTCACTATGATCAAGGAGAAGGGCAAGTGGTTAGAGATTTTTTTTTCATGATTTTATTTCTATTTAGGGAGTGAATGCAGTGTTGGCTCTTATTCGACTGATCAAAATCAACCTGCTATCCTCCCTCTGCCTCCTGGGTAGACTTGGACAGTTGTCTTAATGGGTGATGCAAACAGCACGGCAATGTTACAAAGCCCTCCCTCTCGGCCATACCCTTTCCTGTAACGCAGCTGGAAGAGAGAGGGGAGAAGAGGCTTGCGCTGTGCCATAACTGATTCGACAAGTAACACCCTTCATCCTTTGTGTATTGATATGAGAAAGTCTGGCTTGGGATCTGCAGCTTGTGCCGGTGCCTCTGGGGCTCTCGCTGTGCCCCCCCAGCAGAGTCCGGCCCCGCCGCCTCCGGGACCCCTTTGGGCAGGGGGAGATGCCGTTGGGTCCCCCTTCGATTCCTCATCTCCGGCTGAGCAAGCCCAGCTCCCACAGCCTCTCCTGGCCTCCACCCCACCAATGCAGTAGCCCTGGACGGGACTTGCTCCAGTTTGTTACATGGGTCTTGTACTGGGCAGCCCCGAAAAGTCCCAGTATGCAGCTGTGGCCTCCCCAGTGCCCAGCAGAGGCAATAGCTTCTTCCCCGGTCCCGCTGCCTGCGCTCCAGCCGGTGCAGCCTTCATCACTGCCAGGGTGCAGTCTTGATAATCTTGTCGTCCCCAGCAATTCCCACCTCCTTCTCCTCAAGCTGATTTTTGCCTGGTGTGTTTCTTTTTACTCGGTCTAGTGGCACGGGGTTTTTTTTCCTCCCATGTGAAGGACTTCACATTTCTCTGCCTTGTGTGTCTTGCTGAGGTGAGAAACCTGTAGCTATTTACTGAAGGTGATGCGGGAGACAGTGTTTGCACAGCTGTCAGTCTGCTGGGGGGACCATGTGGTGAACGCTGGCATTTACCGTTTAAAATGGGAGCCCACAGTTCTGTAATGGATTGTTTTTAAAGCCGTAATTAAATGCTCAGTGATTTTCTGTTTGACATGCCTCGCCTTGCAGTCCTGCAATTCCTGTAGAAAGCACCAAGTTGCCCTTGAGCTCCAGCAGTTAATTACACTACAGACTGGGGTTCAAAGGTGTTTTCTGGTGTCTTTTGGACAGGAGCAGATATATTAGACAAAAATAACAGAAAAAAAGATCACGCATGTGATCTTGCAATTTCCAGTGGTCTGTAGAGCATTGCAAGGATTGCTGCCTTGCCCCTTACTGGAATTCCTGAAGGTCTGTTCCACCTCCCTGAAAATATCCCAGCTGAGGTGTGTTTCCTGATCACTGCACATGCATTAACACTTTAAGTGGTCATCTAGGCCACCAGACTAAGTCAGAGTCCTACCTGGAGTGTTTTCCTGCCACATCTCTGCTTCCTGGAAAGGAAGAAAATCCTGCTGGAAATCACCCGTTGTTAGCTTACAGTGAAAGCACAGGTTGTTCTTCCCCGTGTGCTGCTGTGTCTCCTGGGCTTTGATCGGTGAGCAGTGTTTCTCTCTGGACATCAAGCGAGCATCTAAGTGGTATGAAATCAAAACCCGGTAAGCGCGGATCTCGTTTGAGGCTCCCCTGCTTCCAACGGCACTGACACCGTGGGTTTGTTGTTCTAGGCAAAGCGAGGACGTGGCTGGCTCTAGCTCTGACGTCCATGGTCCATGGGATGGTATCCAGGCAATGCCTCTTTAATTTTCCATGTTCTAAGAATCCAGAAGCGTGGATGAACGTTGTAAGTATGATGGCATTGGAGCAGAGGCAGTAAGTTTCTGGGAAACAGCCAGTATAAAATATTGATAGTTAAATACTATGTTTACGGATTACTTTGAAGGCAAACATCACGGAGCCTTGAAAACATTGTTCTTTGCCTTTTTCTTCTTGAGTGAAATGGTCTCCTTCTGGGGATACCCCAGTGAGGAGTATGATGTGGTGTCAGAAGATGGCTATATCCTTCAGCTAAACAGAATTCCTTACGGGAGAGGAAATGCTGGACGCCAAGATAAAATTGATATCCGTGTCATACAGGAAACCCACACCTTATGCTGTTGTCTTCCGACTGGGATACCAGGGCTTGTGCAAGAGGGTTTTCAAGGTTCTCCATGGCTTGGTATCTGTAGCCTCTGTTTTGATCAATAAGAATTTGTAGGGAAGGCTGATCCCTTGCAGTGATGTTTTCTCACCCTGCGTGGAGAGCGTGGGTGATGCCCCATGCACCCGGCAGGCTGCAATCCTAGCAATGAGAAGCAGCCCATCCATCCTACCCACTGGTGCCTCATGCACGCCTTGGATTTTCTCTGGGAGCCTGGCTTCTTATATGTGATCCTGCAGCCATGTGGTAGATCAGCAGAGCGGTTTGATAGTCCTTGAGGAGCTTCCAGGGGACCCTCTTGTCCTGTGAGGAGTGACAACTGGGAGGCTCTAGATCCATGAAAAGGGGCATCTTATCCTATCACATCTCCAGGCACCTCCATGTTTGCCTACAGATCTCCCTGGGCAGCCCAAGTTTTGCTAACGCTCCCGGCAAAGCCTCTCTGCCGAAAGCCTGCTGAGATGCAGAGTGTAGGTACGGCTCTGCTTGTGTCTCTGAAAATACCCAGTGGAGAGTGTCCTTGGAGACAAAAGCAGATGCTGTGAGGTGTCTCTGAAATAGTAATATTGCATGACGTATTATACATATTTATGGTAATAATGAGGGACCTGCCACAGGGTGTGGGAGACAAGGTTCAATTCTCTTCCCCATCTCTGGGTGTTCAAACCTTTCCCTCCAAGCCCCGACAGCGTGGCTGAAGTAACGGTAGGCCAGATGGAAAAACTTATTCTGCCTCCTGGTGAAGTTTGTCGCTCCAGCAAAGAACGCAAGAGCACATCTTGGTGGGACATGGCTGGAGGTGGGGAAGACCTTCCAGCATTGTTCAAGGGTTGAAGAAAATAAGGAGCATGGGAAGACTTCGGGTTTTTTTATACTGTCCCTCAACTCTAGGTGTTAATTTTCTTAATGACAGGTCATCTGCAGAGGAGGTAGGAAGGTGTGTTGGGGATAAAAGGCAAAGTGTTCTGAGACATGGTGCACCAAGCGCATCTGCTATGTAGCAAAACTGTTTTACTGAAATCAAGGGGAAGAGACCTACCTAACACTGACACAAACCTCTGGAAACTTTGGCTGCCGTAATAAACGAGGAAAAGAGCCCCTAAACTGTCTCAGATGATGACAGACAGCATTAAAAAAAAAAAAAGTCATCGTGATGCCTGTCTTCCAAGTCCAAGGCCCGTCACATTTCTGCAACACGGTTTATTTGGAGAAGGCAATTTGGGTTACCAATTTGGCCAACAACAGCCTGGGCTTCATTCTCGCAGACGCTGGCTACGACGTTTGGATAGGCAACAGCAGAGGGAACACTTGGTCCAAGCGACATCTGGTCCTGTCTCCCAAACGGGAGGAATTCTGGGTTTTCAGGTAAACGGGTAGTTTGAGGATCTCAGAAAGAACTGACTTCTTTCATCTTCAAAAGGTGATGCTGCCCTAGCTCGGGGAGGAATGAACCAGGCTGAACTGAAGCACATCCACTTATTTTAGGTGGAAACCCCAAGGACACACTCAGTAGGATGAAGAAATTTGTGGGGTTGTCCTGCCCTCCCCGCTGGTTTTGTGGTTTGTTGGTGATGGTTGTTCAGATGTAGATGCTACACCGCTCGTTAAGATGACTACTCTGCCTTCTGCAGCTTTGATGAAATGGCTAAATATGACCTCCCGGCAATTGTAAACTTTATTGAGCAGAAAATGGGACAGAAGCAGTTATATTATATCAGTCATTCGCAAGGCATGGTGGGTCCTTTTGACTGATCTTGATGATAGTATAGGGTGTCTACATTGTCTTTGGGATTTGTAAAACAGTTCTTCCCAAAGTTAAACTGTATACATGAAAGTCTTGAACGAGTGAGCTGTTTTTTTCTTCTTTGGTTTTCTTTGCAGCTTTTATGGCCTTTTCCACTATGCCTCAGCTGGCTCAGAAAATCAAGATGTACTTTGCTTTAGCACCTGTGACCACAGTTACGTTTCTTCGAAGTCCATTTAAAAAGCTCGCATTCTTTTCTGATTATGGGCTTAAGGTACGTTGCTCCAGACTATATTCTGCATAGCCAAAATGAACACAGTTTTTCATAGAGATTGTGAAATTACCGACACAGCGTGTTTTAAATCATTTACAGAGGGAGGAACTCTGTGCTCCATCTGTTTTCAGAATGAAGAGAATCACACATCTTGGTCCAGAGTCTGTCTGTCCTGTCCTGAATTTACTCCCCAAAATGTTCTGGCAGAATTAGAGCCAAGAGAGCTAGTGGAATGGGCAGACATGCACACAGCAGGTGTCAAAACGTTGGCGAATAAAACCAATGCAGAGACTGTGAATTGAGCCCCGCCATTTAACGCAAGAATGCAATGAATGTAAGGAGCCGTGCACGTAAAAAACGTGGAACAGAAGCGTTTAACGGGGTGTAAGGAAGGGTCCACTCGTGGGCAACCTCATACATCAATATGGGGATAAAATAGAAGCTCTGAGGTGGTGGTGCTTTGAGGAAAAGCATGACCAGTCTTTGTATTTTATGAGTACATTTGCAATTTTACAGATGTTTGGCACCAAAGAGTTCCTACCGCACACTGCCTTGGGTGAGCTGGTCCTTTCCAAGGACCAAGACGCTCTTGCAGGTCTTTGAGCAGGCACAGAGTGTCTGTGCCTGCTCAAAGACCTGCAAGAGCATCTCGTCTATGCTCTTTGGATTTACCTGGAAGAACATAAATACGGTATGTAGGAATAAATCTGCAGAGGGCCCTTGGTGTCCTTCTGAAGGACAAAGCCTTGGCTGCCCTGTTTTGTGGAGCCAGGTGAAACCCATTGTGAAATGCGCTCGTTTCTTTTCAGAGCTGAGTAGATGTGTACACGGCACACTCCCCAGCGGGGACTTCAGTACAAAATGTAATCCACTGGTTGCAGGTAAACCTTCCCAGCTACTTTCCTATGCAAAACAGAGTACGGAGCATTTTAATGGTCCTTTGTGGTCAGTCTCTTGTGTTGGTTGCTGCAACACATCATGGTATCTTTGTTGGTTTTGTTTTCACCCCTTCATAAAATGCTCAGCAGCTTCTCGAGCTGCCTGTACATCGTCAAGTAGAGGGGCCCCAAAGGAGAGGACCTGCAAAGAGAAACATTTGGAGCTGAGGACCCTGCCATCCACAGCAAGCACATTTCAGGGGTCTTGTTTCAGACTAGCTCCAGTCTTGCCCTGCAGCCCGAGTGCCCGTTAGCAGTCAGACTGTGGAAGAAATTCTCCTGGACAGCATCCAGTTAAGCTTATTACCAATTAAGCTGATTATTTCTCCTTCTTCCCATTGTGGGCATGGAGAACAGTCAATACCAGAGCCCCTCTGACACTGAAAGTGTGCTATGCTGCCCTCATTCTCTCTTCCCTGGGCTAAATGTACCAGGCTGTTTGCACATTTCTTTGTAGATTGTGGATTCAGATGGCCGCTTCTTGATCTCTCCTGGACCCTCACCACTTCATGCATCTTCAGCACAGCTTCTTCCTAGTGTGGCGCTCCTGCTCGGAGACCCCAAAATAACTTTGTGTTGTTTGTAGCAAGAACACAGGCTCCATTTTCTGAAGTGCTGTTGCTCAGCGGTGTTAGTCCTCGTTCTGTATATGTCCACCAGTTTTTCTTTTCGATGAATAATTTTTTATAAGATTTTTTACTGGACTTCAGCTTATCTGATGAGTAGTGAGTGACAAAGAGCAGAACTAGGGGCAATGAGCACCAATTACAGCCCAGGGGGATCAGGTTGGTGGTGGGGAATCTTTCTTCCCCTGGGACAGGTGCCCAGGGAGATGGGGGGGTCTCCACGCTGGAGGGGTTCAGGTCCTGGCAGGGTCAAGCCATGGCCACCCTGACCTTGTATTGCTGATAGTCCTGCTCCAGTTAGACAAGAGATGTTCAGAGGCTCCTTCCAAACAACACATCTTTGATCGTATCGTTTCAGGCCAATTCTTCAGTCTACAAGGAACATTTTGAGTTCTAATCGCATTTTCTAGAACATTTTAATTTCCTCCCATCCCGGTGTCAACCACAAACCATATAAACATAATCTCTATTAATTTACCCAAATTAATGACAGTAATTAATGGTACTGGGCCCATGGCAGACATGTGAGATATACTTGAAAAATCTTGCCAGTTCAATGATGAAAACCAACTTTTGAGTTTCCTCTTTTAAACTGATTGCACCCCCACAGAACTATGATTTCATTTAGACCATTGCCTGTCTGAACTTGCTGCAGGGAGTTCAAAGCGGTGCACTGAGAGCTTATGACGGGGGGGAGCATGTATAGCAGTCTTCACTATAGACAGCTGCTTCAAATGGCCAAGGTCGTGGTCTTCCCTTTCACTTACACCTTCTGTTCCCATTCGTGCCTGGTGCGATTCCTCTGAATTTATTGTCCTCTCTTCACAAATTGGGCACACAAGTAGCAAGTCAGCAAGACCTCTGCTTGGAACCGTATTTTCTATTCTGAGCTCTATTTTACAAATACCTTCTAAATGGAATAAAGTATTAGATGCTTTCCACTTATCGAGCATTTTTATTAGAGTCCATAATCTGCCATAGAAAAGCAACAATGACTGTGTGACCAGTTACTATCTGAAACGTGTAAAACTGAAGTCTCCATGCTGGTTGTAAATTGTGTAGCCATGATGGAAAGCAAGGTGCTAAGCCCTTTTGCCACCCAGACCTGAAGTCACAAGGTGAATGGTGAGCAGTTAACTCTGCATCCCTTGGGAGCTCAGGCAATTCTTGTTCTGTGGCAAGAAGAGAACCAGAGACAGAAAAAAAGCTTCTTTCTTCCTTAAGCAAGAAAAATCAATTTGTTCAGAAAGTGGCATGCTTCTTAACTCGAATAATTACGCTGCAGGTAAGGATATATGATGCTGACAAATCACCTGATGGCAAGTCCTCGTGGTGTTGAGCTAAAGCAACCCTCCAGATGTGTCTTATTTTCAAGAAATTGCTTCCGAACATTTTCCTGCTGTTACGAAGCTGAAGGAAAGACTAGTCCTTGCATGAAGTGTAACCACAAACCACAGCAGAGCTGGTTGGAAGGGACCTCTAGAGGTCTCCGGTCCAACCTCCTGCTTGAAGCAGGATGATCCACCAGTGTTAGATCAGGACAGCTAAAATTTTGCCTGCTTATCAAAATAGATGGAATTGTCTGTAGCATCAGAACCAGAATTTTTAACAGGCCAGAACTAATTAACTAATTAATTTGAATTAAATTTGCTAATTTAATTTACTCATTAAATTGTAGCGTATAAGGTTGTACCACATCTTTTAATAAAATTTCTCTTCTTTCTAAAAGAAAGCCTTTCCAGGGTTTTTTTTCCCTTAATTCCCAAAGAATAGCAATTGCTCTTGGGTGGTGCGTATTTTATTGCATTGCAGCAATGCCTCTCCTTTGTGAATCTCTAGTTTTCTGTCTCTTCAGATGGGTCCGCTGCTCTACAACGTGAAGGACATGAAAGTGCCGACGGCCATCTGGACTGGTGAAGTGGACTGCCTGGGGAGGTTTGGACTGGACATTAGGAAAAACTTCTTTACTGAAAGAGTGGTCAGGCCTTGGAACAGGCTGCCCAGGGAAGTGGGGGAGTCCCCATCCCTGGAGGTATTTAAAAGACGTGTAGATGAGGCGCTTAGGGACATGGTTTAGTGGGCATGGTGGTGTTGGGTTGATGGTTGGACTTGATGATCTTAGAGGTCTTTTCCAACCTTAATGATTCTATGATTCTATGATCCCCAGGACGTTGCCCTCCTGCTCCCCCAGGTCAGGAACCTGGTCCACCACAAGGTGATTCCCCAGTGGAACCACCTGGATTTCGTACTGGAGCTCGATGCAACCGAGGTTTTGTACCAGGAAATCGTTGACATGATGAAGAGGCATCCGTAAAGCTGCTGTTTTGATTTGATACATTTTTTGCTGATGTGTCTTGTAAGATTAATGCTATCTTTAAAGGATTTTGAAATTTGTCACTATTTGGACCACCTGAATGTAGTTCATTAAAATGTTCTGCTTTTAACTAGAGCAGTGACAGGGTGGGGAGAGGAGCCTTTATGCTATTCCTGAGTGGCACTTCATTTCCTTTCTTCTTCCTTTTTTCCTCCCTTTTTTCTTTTTTTTTTTCTCTTTCTTTTCCCTCTTTTTTCTTTTTTTTTTTTCTTTTTTCTTTTTTCTTTTTCTTTCCTTCATCAACCATGTTTATTTGCGAAGTACAGGAAACACAGATGAGGAAACTGGGTTTTTAGACGTTTCATTAAGACCAATATCACAGTGATCTATTCTCTGAGACACGATGGATCCTGTGTAGCCTTTCCCATGTAGTTAGCTTTATAGTGCCTGCAATCTCCCTGAGATCTGGAGGTCTGGACCCCCTTGTAACTCAGTTGATTCCGGGCTTCATCAGAGACACAAAATTCACTATTGCCCTCTCAGAGCTGGCACTGTTACCCCTGGACCTTTAAAACTACCAACGTGGTTCAGAAAGAGATCTAACAGGTCTGTGGAGAAAAACCACAGCAGAAATACATCTCCTTAGAGGCAATGCAGTACTAGTGTTTTTGAAATTCAATAAAAATTGTAATTAATCACACTTTTAATTTTGGGTGGAGAACAGTCTTTCCAAATGCTGTTGTGGGTTGTTTTTGATAACAGAATTCGTTACTAGAATTTGCTTGGTAGAAGTGAATGACAGTGATTCCTCTCTGTTGCTGGACATCCTTGTGCTGGCCTTGCGGACCGGTGTCGGATGCTACTCCTGCGCCAGCTGAAACGCCCACTTACCCCGTACCTGCCTCCAGCAGAGCAGAGCAAGTCCGTCAGGACTTCTCCTGCAAACAATATCCCATCCTCCCAAGCCAGCCGTGATGCTACTGAATGCTCCGTGACGGAGATTGCAAGTCTTTGCCCACTTGCTTTCTCAATCCACGTAAACTTTTGGCACCTGCAGCTTTTAAATTTTGTTGGATGATCAGATTATCAGATTAGGCAAATGTTTACTTTTCTATCGTTAAGAAATTCTCTAAGCGTCTTTCCGTAGTACAACTTCTTGCGTAAGTTAATCCTGTTTGAACACATCTTTTTTATTTCAATTCTCTTTCCAGTTACGCAGAAACAATTTGTCCAAAGCAAAAAAATGCAGCTTCATGTGGTATTCTGCCCTAGGTACAAAAGGGCTTTTCCCTGATCGCTTTGTCTCCTTTGTTGCGCTTAAACATTTTCTTTCTCTTTCAAAACCCTGAACCACAGCCGTGACCCAAATCCTCGCTGAAAGGAAAATAAATCAGCTGCCAGCGGTGGGAGACGTTTGCAGATGAGACACGTGGCCCGTGGCTGGACCCAGGAGTAAATAAAGAAGAAACAAGCCCCAAACCCTTCCGCGTGGCAGCAGCTCTGCGGAGGGGACTGGAGACCCTAGGCCCCTCGGCCAGGGGTCAGGGATGCCCCGACTCGCCCGGACACGGCTCCCAGTGACCTGCTGCCGCGGCACCCCTGCATCTCCTCCCGGTGGGGCGTGCTTGGTGGACACCCGGGGAGCTGGGAAACACGGTACCCCTTGCTGGGACCACTGGGATGGCATCCGGGTCCTCAGTGCACATCAGCACTGCTGTGAGGCCATCACCATTCTGCGGGAGGAGAAGACCTCTTTTGTTGCGTGCTGTTTTGGTGGGAAAGGGTAACTGAAGCTGACAAGGCTGCATGCCATTCTCCACCAGCTGCTGAGTCAGCAGATTGCCTCTTGGTTGACAGCTGAACACGTCCCTAAATAAAAGGATATCCTACTCGCTTTGGCCACAGGGCTTAGGGGCTCCTGGAAGAGCAAGTCTCAGCTGGCTGGCTTGAGGAGGAGCCAAGCTGCTGCTGCACCAGCCAAAATCCTGAGGTCCCCAGATTTCAGCGGAGGGTCGTGAAGGGCTCTGAAGGCAGGGGGAGAGAGCCACAGGTGCCATGAGAGGGATGGTCTCAGCAGCGGTCTCTTGTCAACAGCAGCTGGTGGGGTGGTCGGGGTGGTCCTGGCCCAATCCTCCTGGCCCCACGGGTGTCCCTTTCTCTCTGCCCAGCATGGAGGAGTTGGATGGATGCCGGGGGCAGCTTTCCAGTGCCTGGAGGTACTCGGTGATCTTGGGTGCTTGCGTTGCTCTTTGTCACCTGCTTCCCCATCAGTCATCCTGGAGGCCAGGTCACGCTAACGCGATCACCAAAGGACACCCATCTTGGTCTTAACCCACAAGGGCTGCCACTTGTTCCACCCCGCAATGCCTCCGGTGAAGGTTTGGGAAAGTAGTGGTCTGCTTCCACGTTAAACACCATGTCACGTCCCCAGACCCTGCCCGCGTTGTCCTCTTGGCATCTCCTCCGGGAGCAGAAGCAATACCACCCTTTGCTGTCCTTCTCTTCCCAGGAGCCACCAGCTCCGACCCAAGACACACACAAAGGCTGTGGAATCTTACACAAGCCAGCTGATGTTGGTCAAGCGCCGGTGGCTTTGCTGAGGTGGTGTGCTCCCGCCCTTCGCATAAGCAGAACCCACCGGTGCGGGGTGTGATGACCGCATCCAGCTTATGCTGGACTTTGGGGACGGATGGCAACACAGCAGCCATCGGCTGTCTGGAGCAGTGACCCAAACGTCTTGCTGGCATGCAAATATGACTATAAGTCAATCATCTTGCTCTCTAAGCAGTGGACAGCCCAGGGCCTGTTGAGCTCTCCTGCACGGCAGCGGGCTGTACGCTGGGATCTGCCTTTGAGTAGGGATGCCTCTCAGGGTTCCCCCTCGAGGTCGAGAGATTCCTTGCTGCAACAGATCCCAGGTAAGTGACTAGTAGCATGCTGAACTTTGAAATCTTAGCTAAGCGATATAAAGGATTGATTTCGCACATATATAATCCTTTAGACATAAGCCGTTGACCAAGTCTGGGACTAGGGTTGGACCCAGCCGCACCCCGACTCCTCTCTGAGAAGGAGTTCAGAACGCAGAGCGGTCCTTTCTGACCGTCACGACCCCACGGGAGGTCTCCCTGTCAGTTTTGTCTGACCCTGTCCTCCATGCAGTAAATAATCAAGTGTACCTTGCCAGCGAATCCTGTTAAACCGCTGTCACGTTTACTACCAAACTTGGTTAAATCGCTGTTTTGTGCCAATAAAGTATAATTCAGTGGTTTCAAGCAAAAGGTGACAGAGGCACGTATTTTCATAAGCAAAATTCCGCATGCTAAACACGCATTTTAGCCAAAGGTCATGGCATAGCCAAAGCAGAAATTAAAGAGGAACAAAGCTGCTCTTGTGCCCACTCCACCTTTTTTGCACTGAAATTGTCTCAGTCTCAGGAATGAAAGAGCCAGAAGACAAAAGGCAGGGTTGAAATCTGAAGACTGCCAGGGGAGAAAGAAAATTGTGTTACGAGAGGTCAAACCTCATCCTTTTGGGTTTTTTCCTACCACTGGAGAACAACAGGCGTATCACAGTTCAGACAAGGGGATCAGGCCAGGCACAACATGAAGTTCACAGTCAGGGTTTCCTCTTACTTCTCCTCTGATCACGTCTTGCCTTACGTCTTCCCACCAGTTCCAGCTTTCTGCTCCTTCACCAGGGATTGTTCCAGGCTCTAGGATTTCATTTCTGATTTTTTTTTTTTAACAGCTATGGACAGAAGAGATGGCTACCTATTTTTTTATTTATTCATTTTTTTACCACAGACAGAACATGCACTTGAGAAAGCAGATGTTTGAAGCCGTTAAATACATTTGCATTTCCACTTTCTTATTTAGAAACACGAAAGAAGTTGGGGAAAAAATACTGTCTCTGGAAAATGATGTCCCAGTATTGACAAGACCTGTTGGGAAGAACCAGACAACAACTGGAGAAAGGAGAGAAATGCGAAGGAGGGAAACTGGTAATTCGTCCCATTGCTGCTGTGATTTGTATATCCCTCCCAATTCCTCATGGCCTGGAAAACTAGCCTTTTGGGGGTGGCCTGGAAAGCTCTGGCTTTATGGACAATGTTTTTCCCTTTACTTCTCTTAACAGCAAATACTTGAGAGATAGGGGTGCACAGGCAAATCACCTCGTCTGGGACGTAGCCACCAGGGCAAGTCCTGGTTGCCAGTTCATGTAAAGCATATTGATTGAGGCAGCTTTTCCTTGCTGTATTTTGTTGCATGTAGATGCAATAAACTTTCCCTGGAAACCTTTGGGGCAAGAAAAAGAAATGAACCATGCTTTGGAGCGTTCACCCAAGGAGCCCTCAGAGGCTTCAGTATTTGTAATTGCTCAAAATAGACTGATGGAGAAATTGAGGAGGATATTGCTCTTCTCATGAGCATTCAGCGCTCTGAAATAATCAGACCTGTCTCGTGCCACAGAATCGTTCTCCCACAAAAGCAGAGCTGGGCCTGGGTGAAACTGGGGGAAACTGGGTGAAACTTCAGGTGGTCTGAAGACGGGTCCATCTGGAGGCAAGAGCCTGAATGTAAATCACTTGAAAATCACACCAGTTAAAAGGCGAGTGAAATCTTTGTTCAGGCAAATGAGATGTCCTCCACAATACATGTCAAGTGACAGTGAAGAGCTTCCCCTTGAGATGGAGGTAGCTTCAGTAGCACCCAAGGGTTATATACTCCCCTGCGCATCCCGCAAAACCACGACTGCTGTGGAGATGTTTTCCCAAAGCAAAAATGTTCGTCTTGTCAAGCACGGTGAGGACTGGAGGGAAATTGCAATCGATATTGATTGTAGATCATTTTCTGCCTCCTCCGTATTAACGATGGATTGGGGTTTGCTCATTTCAGCAGTAAATTAATCAGCGTGGAGGGTCTGTTGAGCAGGTCTGCTAGTGCACAGGTCAAGAACTCCTCAGTCCCCTCAATCTGCCTCCTAACTAGTAACTCACACCATGAATCTATAGTGATCTCTTGTAAGGCCAAGATATTCCCCGGTGGTTTTACCTCTTCATCTGGATCACGAGCTGCCCACTCTTTCTGACATTGCTGTCCGTACATTTGGTGATTAGGACCTGTGTGGGAAGAAATACACCATCACCCTTTTTTTTTCCTTCTAAATAATTAAAGTGGCCAAACCACAATACAGGCGAAAGCCCAGAATGAGCCCATGAGCACGTCAGTAGAAATTGGCCATTTTCAGGTTTGGGCTGGAAATCCCAGCTCCTGTCTCCAAAGGCAAGTCCCGCTGCAGGCTCGGTAGGAGCAGGGGGGCAAAAAATCTTCAGGCTGTTTTTTTGGGTGGAGCTCAGCAAGTTTATAGCTGGGTTTGATGGGGCGCTGGTGCCAGCTGGACCTGCTGGTCCTTGGCTCCTGAGCTTCTCTAGTTTGGTGCAGCAAATTCATTCTTCGTGGAAGGTCCCAGTTTGGGAAGCAATATAAAATGGTTGTTAGGACTTTCTCCAAGTTTTCATCATTTTGTGGGTGAAATAACATGAGCCTGATTTCATTTCACTCGAAAGAGGAACCTGAAGTGTGTTATTTGAAGGTGCAGTCTTAAGTATATACGTGATTCGTCCTCATTCGTGTCAGCATTATGTCGCAAACCAACGGCAACAGCCTCCAATCCTGCATACCCATTTCTTACTCTTATCAACCTTTTATAAGGCAATCTCTTGACAGCTTGGCTTTGGCTGATGCTCCCTGAAGTGCCTTCTTCTCCTTTTACTCTTCAGAGACAGGGCAGGGGTTGGTATACCTTTGCAAACACTGAGCTGCGCGCTCTAAATTTTGAGACCAGCTTTCTGGTCCCACACGCTGCTTGGCTGACGTCAGTTTGGGTCAGAGCGCAATGCTTTATCCTTTAAACATAGTATTAAACATCATTTAGCTGGTTCTTCTGTTTCTGAAGCTTCTTTCTCCATTTTTTATGACTGAATTTGTGTCAAATTTGCACATGCTTTTGGATCTGTTTCTGTGCATGTGCCCACACCCCTACTCAAAGAAGGAGAAACGCCGTCTGCAGGTACTCCTCTGCAGATGCTGTGAGGCTCAGCAGCCAGGTAGCTCTGGCCCACGTTGGCCACACTGGATGTGCACAGGCTGCCTTCACGCAAGCAACCTTGTCAGCTGTCCCCAGAGTCTGAAACTGAGTTGTGGTGCTATGAATTCTTGCCCTGCTCAATGCTGCACAAATATAGGCAAAGAAAGAGATGCTATGGGCTGCAGAGAGCCATTAATGAGTTAAGCCCTCCAGGGTAAACAGAGTTGCTGCAATTTACTTTTCTTGCCTTTATGTTTTTTGCATTGCAACACTAAGAAGCTAAACAGGATGAGCATAAAAAGCTCAGCAAGAAGCCACGTGACTGGAGGGGGCTAGCTGAGCAGGTATTTATGAGGTGAGGAAGGGCTCAACCCCTCTGAGCTCCTCTTGCACATTTTATCAGCAGAAAATCACCAGGTTTTGAGCTTCACTCAGCAGAGCGAGGAGGCTTTGGTGAGTACCATCTCCTACTCCTTTGATCTTTGCCAGCTGTGCCTAGCTCAGAGTCCCCCAGGCCAGATGTGGCCTCTTCCCATTTTCTCCCCTGCCTCCCGCCCTCGCTCATCCCCTGCATCCCCTGGGGACCCTCAGCTCTCGACACTCCCATGCCACTGGGTGCTCCTGCTCGGCTGGCTTCAGCTGGAGCAGAAGGATGCTGTTGAGCAGCCGGTGCCGGGCAGAGGGTCCCGTACGGGGCTGCAGCTGGCACAGCTTGGGATGGCAATGCCCATGCCACATTGCAGCATCAGGCATTGGCGGTGCTGCCAGCAGTGCCGGAGCTGCACGGCGTTTGCTCGCACCCACCACCCTGCTCACGCCAACCCCATTCCTCCCCCAGGTGCTGCCGAGAGGCGAGATGTGGCTGGTGCCTGGGGGCCCGAGCCCGGGCCAGGGGCGCGG